ATCACATGCCAAAGCTTCAGTAACGAACCGATAGTTTATTTAAGAGTTGTAAGTGACTTTCTGAACATTTCAATGGGGAAAATAGCGACTGACGGAGCTTTCAAATACCATGGAGCTCTATGGCTCCCGGAAAACAATTATAACTTTTGAACAAGATAGCGGTTTGTGCTGAAACTTCGGCATCTTGTTCGGACCGCTGGCGCTACCTTTGGGCGGAGAATGAGCGTTCTGCGATGCGTAGTTAATTTTTCTGGCAAAAAAAGCCCTATAAATTTTTTTTTTTTTTTTTTTTTTGGGGGGGGGGGGGGGGGGGGGACACCTTGTACATGGCTTGCATTCACGTCGCATCAGCTGCCCTTGTGAGGGACCCTGCTGCTGCGAGCGTGCATTTTGTCGCATATACTATTTGGCACCACCGGATTTTGTTTCGTAGGCAAGCAGTGGTAGGAATGACTATTAGTAGCTGGAGACGACGGCACGTGCAAGCCATGGATACTAGCGACACCAACATATTGGCGACTCCAGCGAAATCGACGGCACCTAGCGGCTAGAAGAAAAAGCTGTTGCGGCTGGTTCACTCGCCAGCCTTCTCAATCAAATCGGATACTCACAGCACCTCGTGGTCTAAAGACGAAGCCGTGAATGTAGGTTCAAAAATACGTGGTGAAAATGATCAATGCCATGAGTCATTTGCGAATCGTGCGACTTTCTTGATTTGAAAGCTTGAACGTGCGTGTGCGAAAAACCAACCGAAAATTGGACGTAATTCGGAAAGTGAGAAAATAGCTCCACGTCATTTTTCAAACGACCAAGCAAATGTGGGTTTTTATTGTACATAAATTGCAGGAATGCCATAATTAAACCACATTTCTGATCTAAGGGCGGTGTAAGACAAATACCGCGGTTGGTCAAATAAATATAGTGTGGAACAATTTTTGCATGTTCCAACTGTTGTGCGATTTCTTCTTTTTTTTCGCACATGTGTTCTAAACTTAAGCAAATGTTACGACGTACCCCAAAGCACTTCAAGGGCAGGCAAACTTGATTCTTTTTTTTCTCCGTACTATTATCCTTGATCGCTGTCATAAAATATGGCCTGTACACATGTGTGCACGTCCGGCGTAGTCATGAAGATACCCTCAGCCTCTGAATGTGGTCAGATTCCGGGGATATCTTTGTGGCGAGTTTCTTATCGACCGAGACCGCACATGGGGCAGTTACCGCTCGAGAATTCTGGAAGAAAACTGACGGCGGTTGAATGCTGTACACGGCAAGAATCACGTAGCAACCTGTTTTGACTTACAAACAAAACTTTATCTCGGCGATATAGGTTCTTGTTTTTAATGATGACAGTGTTATTAGCATAAGGCAATCACTAATTACCAGCGCGATTAGTGTACTGAATTACAATATCATGCGCTATTTTTATTTATACGCATTGATGACCTTCTTTGGGAGGCACGAAAAGTTAGCTAATGCACAGAAAAGGTACTTCAAACACCTTTTGTGTAATATTATAGTACTCAGCGAAAACGCGGCAAGGACACACAAAAAAAAAATAACAACAACCGTGCAGTACATACAAGCCCCTTAGCCAACCTTAGTTCAAGAATTAGTCTTCAACAGGTTTAAAAATGTAACAGCAGAGCATCTAAACGCAAACGCTCCAAAACGGCTGTTTCATTCCTCAACAGTTGTATAACGCCTTGCCATCTGAACTACATGAATTAAAAAAAAAAATTACACCCTGAACTTATCATGGCGAGTACGTAGATGAACAACCCCTGAGGTCTTTTAAGTGCGTCCTCTGAATAGCGAGGTTTCAAATCCTTATTTTCCAAACGTATGTCAATTACGCATAAACAGTCAACTTATCGTTTCTGCATTGGCTGCGTTTTCTACACAGAGCCACCTTTTGACCTCGTCACTACGATTCCTAAGGCACGTCCAGCGAATGCCTTGGAAGAAAAGTAATTGACTCGCAAAAACAATGAACACAGGGACAATGAGCAGATGAAACATAATGGTAGTTTCTTCAGTGGAGTGTGCGTTCACTACATTTTTTTTTGTGTGTGTGTGTGTCAAATCCTCTAAGAAATGGAATGCTCTGCCTTTGCGAATGCGAAAAAGCTTTTTTTTTTTTTTACGATTGTTCGTCCCTGCGATAATGACTTATGCCGCTGCAGGTTAAAAATAAATGCAGAATAAATAAAAGGTCTATTCACACGGTTGCGTTTGACTGCGTTGCGTCAAGATACGACAGTGAGTCAACGTAAAAACCGTCCATCGTATTCCGCGTACCAAGAATTGCTCGCCACGCTTCATACTGCCTCGGTAACTGGCAGTCGCATCTATACACAAATCGCCGGAACGCAGTAAAACGCAGCCAAACGCAACTATGTCAAAGGGTCTTATAGGTGCGCATGAAGCAAAACATATAACAACGAGCGCAAAGCTTAGACCGTTGCATGTCCTGCGCGCGCTGTCGTATACCAACGGAAGATTCGTTCGAGGGAAGAATAGTGCGGCAATGTTCCCTAGTTGGAACAATCCAAAGAAGGGCTAGAGATCATTTCCTAGTCCCACTTGAGCTACAAACAGCAAAAACCGACGATGACGAACTTCGAGTACACGTGCAGCCTTCGTGGGAACGTATAGGGAGTATTCACTGGCGGCCATACCTGTGTGCGCTGCTGCTGAGCGCGTGCTGACGGCGAGCTTCCGCAGTCCTTCTGGAGCGTGCATTTAGCACCATCAAGGTTACCGGTCTTAGCAGGCTATTAATGTGAGCTCGTTCTGAGCATGCGCTCTAAACATCGCCCTTAAATATGGAGTCCAGTGAATACCTCCTATAAAGACCTGCATTCTCTCGGTCCTCGTGAAGCAAGCACGAGGGATTGTAATACTGCCAAGGATAGTTTCGCCAAGCTCAGAATATATGGTCCGATCTAAAGGATCCAATCCGCACCGGAACAATTCTCGCGACGTTTGAGTTGATCAGCTTCGCTCAGACATGGGAAGTAGTCCGTTACTTTTTAAAGTAATTTTGTAATTGTCACGTCACTTTTCTTTGCGGCAGCAATTTGTAATGTAATTTCGTTACAAAATATTTGTAACGAATTACTCTAATTACTCGTTACTTCTAAAAAAATATATATGAACATAATACGGAAACTGGAGCAATAGGAGCAAGGAACTCGCAGCAAAAAGATAGCAAGTACAAAAAAAAAAAAAAAAAAAGCGAAGAGGTGAATAGCCAGAAAGAAAACGCAATATTGTGTATAAACAGTCACTATAGAACCACTTGAACACGTGCAAGGCATATACAAATATGTAAAACAAAATCATCAAGAAGACAACGCCGGGCAGGCTCTGCACCTTTCCATCGCCTTTCATCGTGTTTTTCTTCTCCTGCGCGGGATAAAGCTCTTCGTGTGTATTCGATTTTGATTTTACACAGCTTGAAAGGCCCGCTCGAAAAGGGAGCGTAGATCAGTTCCTTACCTCCGAATCTCCTGGCGGAGGTAGTCACTCATACTGAGCATGCACACCGCTAGCTTTGTCTGCAGAATTCTAGGGATAATTTCCGGTCGCTGTGAGCTAACGCGATGGCGGGCGTGGTTGCAGCTTTCGCTGCCTTGTCTGCTTACACGTGAACTTTGCACCTACAATCTTTCTTTTAAATACAATATTTTATTTTTACAATGATTACCACGATGCGGGCGTATGAGAAATGGAAAGTAGTGTTGCAGACCTTTTTTTGAAGACATCCACATTAATTCTATTGGTTTCTCGATAAGTGTACGGGAAAAGTAACTTGTAAGTAATTTGTAACGTAACGAGTAAAGCAATCCGTTACTTTTCATGGAATGTAATTTGTAGAGGTAATCCATTACATCTGAGGCTGGGTAATTCGTAATTCTAATCCATTGCATTTTTCAAGTAACGGGCATAAGTCTGGCGTTCCTGAACACGTAATTTTCAGATCTATTCGCGGCGAAAAGTTTGGTTATCGCCACCTGGTGGAATGTTTCACAGCCCTGAGTGAACAGACTTCAATAGACCGATCTCACCAGCCAGTTTGACTACGCCACCGCTGCCGCAATGCATCGAGGGAACTTTAGTCTTTTTGCACGTGCGACAACCTCGCTGGAGCTCTTCGCGTGTAGAGCACGAGAAGGCACGAGCCCTCGAGTGCACTGCCGTCTGCCTCCTGTGAACTAAAGTTATGGCGGGTTTACGCATGCGCCCAAAGCTTAGTGAGATCGGTCTATTCTTAGTCTGCTGGTGTAAGCACGTGCAATGTGAAGCTTCTATGCACTATATAGAAATTAAAATATAACCGCGTGGGTGGCACGTGCACTACCCATAGTGAGGAAAAGAGAAGCGCCCTAGCAAGCTTCTGACCGCGAATAGTCCTAATTTGAGCTTTGACATTTGCGGGGATCCTTCTGCTGTACTGCTCGTCGTGATTCGTTGCCTGCGTGTTCTGCGGAAAAAAGTAAACTCACGAAGATTTTTTTTTCTTTGTTTTAGAGGTATGGGAATCTATGATTAAGTGAAGCATCGACATACACCGCAAAAGATCTGGTGCTTTGCCTACTTTTTCGCACAACATTTGAGAAAGCCAATCGATCACTGCACTCTACGAAGGGAGGTCGGCGAATCACGAGGCTGTAAATATGTCTAGACCCTAAAACACAGACCGCCCTGGTACACTTGCTCATGACGTTTCACGTGCTTACGTGGTACTCACTGCCACAGCGCAATGAGTACACATCATTAGTTTTGCTATTTGCCGAGAGCCCGCCGTAGCTAGCGATTGGCTCTTCATAGTGATTTGCTGGAGAGAAGGCGCCCCAGAACTGCCTACAGTGTAGACATTCGGGTTCACCTTAATACGTTTAACAAGAAGCGTGACTCTTTCCTTCTTGTCTGGACGCAGCTTAGCGTCTCCCGAGACGAGCCTGCTGGTGAACCGGTTCACGCTATGGGACTACCTGGTGTTCTCGGGCATGCTGTGCGTGTCGGCCAGCATCGGCATCTACTACGCCTTCTTCGGCAGCAAGAACGCGACGCCGGACGAGTTCCTGATGGGCAGCCGCAACCTGCGCGTGGCGCCCGTGGCCCTGTCCATCCTGGCCAGCTTCATGTCGGCCATCACGCTGCTGGGCACGGCCACCGAGATGTACGTGTACGGCACCCAGTACCTGCTCATCATCCTCTCGTACTGCTTCGTCATCCCGGCCACCGCCTACCTCTACATGCCCATCTTCTACAAGCTGCAGGTGACCAGCGCCTACGAGGTATGCCTGCGTTTTAAAGAGACGGTTCTACGTGCAGTGTCGTGGGCATTACAGAAAGAAAAGAAAAAAAGTGACAACATACGTTACTGGCATATAAAAGGAACGCGTTAGAAACCAATTTTAAGCGTTACGGTTATTTATAAACTAAAACGTTTTACTTTTTTGGCGTTACAGACATGCATAAGCGACATATTTAAAGAAACGTTATGTCCATGCAAAAGCTTAACATCATTACCTTATTTCTCTTACGGCTCCACCTGAACATTCGGGAGAAAAAACGCCAAGCAAAACAGAAATAAAAAATAAAGAAATCATATGTCTGGGCCCCTAAAAGCGCACACACGAAAAAAAAAATATTTTTTAAAGTTTTGGGAAGAAGACCTAACGAGCAACGTAACTACGTCACACGTCACTCAAAATAAGTAACGTAAGTAAGTTATTGGCTACTGTTTTGGAAACGTAACGAGTACGTTACTACGTTACAGAAACAAATTAGAGTTACATGTAACGATGTTACTTTGTAACGCGTTACCGCAAAAAATCCGTTATGGGCACCCATTCAGGGATCTTGCTTGCTCGTGTTCGTGTTGGTCGTGCGGTAGCAATGTGACGGCAGAAAGTATAAGCAGGGGAGCGTAGCTGTTGGCTTGACATCGTAGCGCGTGGGACCAATGACGTAGCCCCGGGGTAAGCGGAGCGCTGACACTGCTTTCTCCCCACCCTCCTCCACTGCGTAGGAATGGGGGATGCCCAAGAGGGTAGGAATTGCGTATTAGTAGATTAATTTAGTATACATGTTTGCAAGTCCGGCCTCAGAGCGCTGCCATCTTGTCTGGTTGGGGTGCGCTCGGGCGCGGCCGTAATCGGATCGATTACGATGCCTTAACAAGGCTTCGTAATCGGATTATGACGCGTCCAAGCGCGCCCCAGCTGATCAAGGTGGCGGCGCCCTGAGGCCGGACTTGCAAATGTGTATAGGTGCGGTCACAGTCAGAGAGTACGCGCGGAGGCATTTCAAAGAAAACAATGCAACTCCCCCTAAATAAAAGGTGCTGGGATCAAGAGAAGTCTTTTGTGCATTTCATTTTTGTAGAAAGTGCCGCGGGCGGCAACGATTATGGAGGCGCTGTCAAGATAAAACGGGTAAAGCTGCGTTGTCATTCAATCAAAACGAAGCAGGCTTCATTTACTGGAATACGGGTGTGGTGGCTCACCTCCTACTGTCATCGTAGTTGATGCCCACCAACTTTAAAAGCTTCGTCGCAGCACACAACTCCCATTCATTTTTGAGGTACCGCTGCATTACCAAAGCGTGCCGGCCAGACAAAATAAAATAATAGCTGTACTGTCACAAAAAAAAAAAAAAAAATTAAACAACAACGCAAAAAAAAAAAAAAAAAAAAAAAAATCTCGACGTTGAAACATGAGGGGAAGCGTCCACCCACAAACACTAGAAAATATTCCAAGCCGGTATTAAAATGTCCGAGACAGCGGAAGTTGAAATTCAAATGCCGCGAGTAACAAGTTGGCAACGTCACCGGAAGAACATTTTAAGCGCTCCGTGTTCCTTCCTTTCATGAATTACCGGATCAAACAGTTCGATAGGAGATTTAAAAAGCACCGACGTAACGTTGCAATTACTTTCATCGCTTCTGCCTGCAAAAATCTTGGAAAGCGGGACAGCTCCCGGCGCCGAAGAATTTTTAAAGCTCTATTCAGGCCTGGTTTCAGTTCCTGTCCTCCATTGCGAGCTACTCATATGGGCTGCCAAATGCAAGAGGGAGAAACGTGAAACAGCCGTCACGTCCGCGCTACAGTCGGTCACCCTCTGCCCGGAGCCCCTATTCCCAAACGTCCATCGTCTCCTCAAGATCCTAGCGACTCTGCGCGTAACAACGGCGGAACCTGCGCGCTCGTTTTCTTCACCTGAGAGCGTCCACTTCAAATGAGTAACTGCTGGGTCTAGCGCTTTTGAATGTTCACCGCGACATTGAAGTTCAAGCGGAGGACGTCCTGGATACTCTTTGCCATGAACGCAGGCGGCTGTATCTTAATGTGTAGGCGCTTGGCATAAATGAGATGATCACTAGAGCCTTTAAATTGGTTTCTGAAATAACTGGTCACAGTTACTTTTTAATTCGTGGTAATTCTAGTCGAAAGCACGTACTTTTGATCAGTACTCAAGGTGTGCGTGAGCGCAGCGCCACCCGTTGCTTACAAGGCAGTTGTTTTTACAAATCATTTAATATTCCTTACATCACTGACATTGTTTTATATTACCACCATGTGTTCGTTTCATTATGTTCGCTTTGGCTTAATTGAACCGTGTATTTTAGTGAGGGTAGTTTATTATAATTTGCCTTGAAATTGCCATCCTTCACCCCACAAATGTTTCGAAATATTCGTTTTCTATATATCTGAGATCGAGTTCCGCATCCCAGCAAATAAACACGAATGAAGAAATATTGCCTATTTTATTTGTTTGAGTATTTTCTACCCCACAAACACTTTCCGAAAGCATATAAGTTGGAGATAGTCCTCGCTCCCCCTTTGCTCCATGCCCCGTGCAAAATCGACCTCCCAAACCTTCCCTGCCTACGCCACTAACCGTTTCATTTTTTTTTTTTCTTCAGGCAGTGGTGTTAATCCGCCCTTTGTTCATTTTTTTTTATAAACCGGAAGTTCTCTGGAACGTCAAAGACTGGAGCACCACTTGGTGGCGTTTGCCTTAATACGGACTATATTATAATGCAATCGTTGCAGGTGATGCCACAGCTTCGTTGTCAAACCACCTTTACAGCATAGATTGGAGCCTTAATTTTTTTACTACGGAGACTTTATGATCGAAGAGGTTCGACACACGCCACCGTTTTCAATTGGCTAACTGAATTAAGAAAATACCATTGATTGGATGTTTGAGTGCATCGAAGGGCGGCTTCTTAGAGTGGTGGCACGAATATCTTAGCGTTGCGGACTGAACACAATCAGCTGACCCCAGGGTGCTTCGCTTACTTTTGTTTTCAGAGGAATTCATACAAGTCCAGACAGCTTAAGAAACGGATTCTATAGTTCTCATATACCTATACCACATACAAAAACAAAATCGACTTCCGGCATGGGGAGTAGAATTTTTAGGCCTGCCATTGTGACATGGCAGTCATGACGGCGCCGAACGACAGGGTGCCTTTTTGTCACGCTGGCGACATCCATCCTAAGTTTGCCGACGCTTGAATGCACATATTTTGGGGATTGCCATTGTTCGTCAGCTGTAGCTGACACAAGCCACGGTGAAGACGGTTGCACCACCGTCACCGACATAGGCTGACAGACGGGATTTCCCGCGAGCTCACTTTTTTACTTTGTGCGTGTAACCTATAGAAATACGACGAGCCAACTCGAAAAAAAAGTATCTGTGTACACGTTTTTACGGAATACAGAGAGAGAGAGAGAAAGAGAGAGAGGGGGTCAATCACGGCAGGCAATAGAAGGGTCCTAGCGAATGAAAACGCGAAACATGGGACAAATAAAAACAAACAAACAAAATAAACAAACGACGTGCGCAGGGACAATGAACGGGTCAGACATCATAATCTTTGCCTCTGCGCACATGTAATTTTTTTACAGCGAAGCTGTTTATGGATAGGGTTCCATGAATTTTTCGTGTGCGTCAACAAAAACTCAGAGCGGGTTCGCACCGCCCCCTATTTGCCATCGTTCCAAGCGCCTGCGTGCCTAGTTTCCTATCTTTCCGCCGGGTGGCGGTCCCGTCGCGCGCGTCTAGTTTCCTCCGGCTCCTCGGGGCGGCGACTGTCTTCGGCATGTGTGTGCGCTAGGGAGCCTTCATGTGCGCTTTGCTAGGGTGATGCCATCCTTTGTAATACCACTCGCCGACAAACCAGCAGCCATTTTGTTCCTCGGCGATAATCCGTGGGGCTTATAACCCTCCCGGAAACAAGCACCTTATCTCAGAAGTTCGGAGCAGCGTTGTGGAACCCACGGAGGGAGGATTAGCATATTTCCCCTCGGATGGGATTACCGATGGACACAAAGGCCACTTTCAGGCGCACGGGAAAACAATGAGGGGAACAAAATGGCGGTGGACGAGGGTGTGGAAAAGGGAAACAGGCAGTTGGCATCACCCTATGCGAAGCGCACATGAAGGCACCCTAGTGTGCGCATCTTTCGTAACAATGGCCGCCAATCAAGACAATGAATGTGTTCGTACGTTGTTCAACATTCTGTGTCACGTTTATGTCCTGTGCTAAACAGCTGCGCTGGTCATTCACCTTCATAGAGTGGAATGGCTCATGATTTGTTTACTTTGCGGTCACTGAGAGTTTAGGAAACTGGAGGTGTGACCGCAGTCAGTCAGACTCATGCCCGACCGGGAACAATCGTAATAAAAAGTGCTCGAGACTCGATGGCCACGCCTTGAGCTCCTTAAAAGATGCGACACACAAGACGCGTCCAACTGTAGGGAAATCCATCACGCACGACCAATCCCTCATTTCTCTTCCTCTTCTCCTCAAGCATCGTCGCCAAATCTTGACTTTGATGTGCTACACTCGTATTCATGTAAAGGTGGCCAATAGCCGTGGATACGTGGACGCTACCGTAGGGTAGAAGAGAAAAAGGAGAGGAGCTATAGGCTCCCTCTCTGTTGGATACGCTACTGTTGCATCCATGGTGGGGTTTACGTAGATGCGACCGTATATGAATCAAAATGAAATTGCCGCCTTGGATTGGGGAGAGCGAGGAAGGGAAAAAAGGATCAGGGGCGTGTGATTGGTCACCTCTCTATTCGATGCTCTATGATCGCATTCAAGTAGATCCCGCCCATGTAATCGCTGCCATCCCTTACAAAAAATTTATATCTGGCCAGATCTGAAGATTTCAGATATGGCCATATCAAAAATTGGCCACATATAACCTGATATGGTATATCTGCCAGATATAGCCTGATAACCCTGGTCAGGTATGGAAATCCCAGATCTGGCTAA